TTTACCATCTAACAAATAAGGGTCCTTCTACCTTTAGTGCAAATTCTTGTCATCATGAACCTTCATTCCTTCATAAGATAGACTAGTTTATATTTTGATAGTCTGATGCTAGGGAAGTCTTTTCCACTGACTTTTGTCTTTACAGAGTTACAGCTGCAAACTCAGAAAATGTGCTATTGATTGGAGATGATTCCATATTAATGTGTTATACCCTGGAATTTGTCCTCCTCTGAATAGACTCATAAATATGAAATATACCTCCTAGTTGATTAATTAATTTTTTTATTGTTCCACCAGGGTCAGTTGATCTTCTTGCTTCATGCTCCACCATTAATAATCATCCCAAACTTTCTGGCTGCTGTTAATAATGATGTAGCTAATTTCATTCTAGGCAACTGAAGCAGTACAGATTGCATTGAAACTAGAAGACTGGATCAAATGGAACAGAGGTTTCAAAAATAAATTTAAGAAGGAAACATGTTAACAACAAAAATATTTTGTCTCTCAAAAGAAGAGATATAGTTTCTTGTTCATCAAGACTATGTCAAGAAATAGGGGAGCTAGTCTGAAGTTCATAATCTAATAGATTTCTGAATGTTGGAAATAGTGGAAGAATATGAAATATGATGACATTACTAAAACTTTGTGTTTAAAGTGTCCAAACAATCCCACTTTCACAGAGTTCACATTAACAAAGAAAAATGATATTCATTGAGATTAGATTTGGAGGCAGATGACTACTTGCTGAGACGTTCACATTTTACTCAATAAAATAAAGTTATTTAATCACCAATGATTTAGGGGTTAACTCTGTACAAGATGGAAAATAGAAAAAAATGAGTTTATTAGGAACATGAAGAATGCATTAGGAAAGACAGAAGCAGAGGTAATCTTGTATCTTCACATTCACCATCACTCTCATCAGTGCCCTGTTCATGTGAATCAATTGCTTCTAATCAGACTTCAATAAATTAGCTAATTTTTATAGATGTTTTCAAAATACTTAGTGATTAAGTCTATTCATTCAGATCTGTATTCCATTTTTGGTATAAATGTTTAAGATTGAATTAAAAAAACTATTGCAATGATTCAGCATTTCATATCTTTGTTAATGCTGCTGCTGATGTTTTTCTGAGTTTATTTCATGATATGTTAAACCAGTCAGTCATTAAGACTCAGTTACTATACATTTAAAATTGCTGACAGATGGCCTTTTGTGCTACAAAACTGTGTATGTAGCCTAACTTTACACAGGTGAAACCTAAATTTACACAATGTAAAAATGCAAGCTATAATCGATGCTTTCAGGGAAAAGCATTATATTCGCCCTTTCAGGTCACCTGGATAAATAACTAGGGAAAGAAAAGATGTAAATAACCAATCATTACATGTAGAACTACAATTTCCTGATATTATTGGGTTTTAACTATGGATTCTACTCCCATTGGATAGCCTGAAAATGATTTTTTATGTGCAAAGAAAAGTTCAGTATAGCTATAATCTGATATTTTATTTTGTGTTTAAATATGCACATATACAGTTATATCCTGTGACTCTAAAATGATGTGAATGTGAAAAAAATTATAGACAGTGATTTAAATAAAATAAGTGTTTGATTTTATAATCTTTAAAATTGCTGTACCTTTTAAAAATAAGTATAATTTTAACAAATTATTATCTTAAAACATATAAGATATGTTTTAAAGCATTGTTAAGGATATAAAAATATTGGTGAGGTTTTAATTTTCATCTATTCAGAATTCTGACTAGAAGGACATAAATAGTATGTTTGAGGCAATTAACATTTTCCACAGGTTCATTCTTTTCAGCTAGAACAAACTGCACTTGACCAGTTAGTGGAATATTGTTTATTGTTGTTATTTTGTAGTATATCAATTTATTTTAATTTTGAAAAATTTTTTTCTTAGCACCCATACTGTTTCTGAATGTCTTTTAAGAATATCCACATGAAATACTTTATATTCTTGTTTTCTTACTATTATTGTTTAATTTGTTCTAATTTTGTTTACTTTATCCTAACAAAAGTGGAAGGGGATCAAGCACTGTACTTATCAAGTCCAGTATAAAATTTGCACCTGATAAATGCTATTAGTGGGCACAATATGTAAATATATGCTTGGTACAGTGCTTAACATTAAAACATAAGAAGAAATAACATGTTACTCTGTATGCAACTAAACAGATACTTACCAATCAATATCAATTATTACTCTATCACCAATATATCTCTCCATGTATACATATGTAATAATTTTGTTCTATAGAAAAGAAAGCTACCAAACTAGTTCAAGTAAGTTGTTTTTTAATGTCTAGCAACCATAATTAATAATCTTTACATCTGTTAGCTACTTTCCATTAGCATGTTCTAATGATGAAATAATGAATGAATGAATGAAAAAGTAAGTGAAAGCACCAACTTTGAAGATTAAGAGCTATTACTATAACTATTCTTTGGATATCTTTATCATTTAGAGTACAGTAGTTATTAATGGTTAAGAACATTATTATAATTTTGAAAAAAATCAGTCTATTCCTTATATTATTGTTTTTGTTAGCAAAGTATAGCCTAAAGAAAGTAAAATAGATACAACAGAGGAGAACAGAACAGTAAACTCTTCTACTTACTTTTAAAAACTTGAAGTAGGCCATCAAATGAGAGAGAGTCTAATCCACCCAGCCCCTACCCACTCTCTATGAGTATATTATAAAGTTAGTTAATTAAATGGAAGACACAGGGGAGAACTTAGTAATAAAGTTGACATCATAATAGTTCATATACTACTTGAGAAACAAAAGCTATAAAAATTTACACATGATCTAGGAGAATATGAAGAGGAAAAGACAGATGCTATCAACTGGGGTACATATCATCATATTATTGAATTATGGCAAACCCATCCCCATCCTACCCAGTCATTATTCACTGGAATTCTCTTCTGGGTATAAACAACATGCTTTAAAATGCAATTTAGAGCTAGTCCAATAAAAATGAGTCTTTAAATACTTTTTCTGTTTGCTGTAAATTGACTTAGGAACCATTTCATATTTCTGAACTCCAGATTTAGACAAACATATTTTTCAGATTCTTCTCAGATACTTTATCTTTTCAAGGGTCTAATCAAAGTCACTTTCATACTAAAAGCACAGCGTTCACTGTCTTCTGATGCTATTGTTAGCCAGTGCTAGGGCCTTCATCTATTACCTCCACTCCCTAGTATACAATTATGGATGCAGCTAATTATGTTTATAAAAAGAGCCATAATGCTTTTAGAATTAAAGGAAATGATTTTTGTAAATTGCTCAGTGTAGATTTGTATGTACTATTCCTTTACATGATGAAATACAAACTCCAGTGCAGAATTAGAAATACATTAGGATAAATATCAAGTTAATTAATAAAAAGAATACTTAGAACATGGGTGTTTAATATTGTCATTGTCATTAAAGTTATTAAGAGTACATTTTATCAATCACCAAATACAGTTATATGATGGAATTAATATAAATTTATCCTAAAAGTGTCCCTGCCACATCCTGTTGACCATTTACCCCAACCACTGGTCATGTGCAGCCTAAGTAATAAAGAAAAGGCCACTGTCATTTGGGGGATGTAGGTTTTTTTTTAAATTTATATTTACATGTATTAGTATTGACCAAAATTAACTGCACAGCTTAGAAAAGTTAATACCTATTTATTTCTTTTTATTTTACAAGGTAAATAATTCATCTACCTTTTAAAAGCACATTTATGAGTACTGAATTATTAAGTTATAAATGCACTCTCAGGAAAATTGACCAAATGAAATGTATTTAAAATCTAGTCAAATGCGACAATGAAGCCTGATGTAAACATTGTACTTGTTATCAATTCTAAAATTTTTCTAAGCTACAGATGATAGGCTATTCATTAAATGACAGTTGCATACTCAATCATACATCACTATAATATTTATTTATTTATTCTAGCCAATAACAATGTGTAGAACACCTAAACCACTCATGTTCTGTGTGAGGCTCCAAGGATACCGAAGCAAATGAAAAGTTATGGCCATTTGTGTTCTCACGATATAGCTGGGAAGAAAATGTAAATTTGAATTAAAAATACTGGACTGGCGGCATGTACTCTCATAGGGTGCCAAGAAGTTATACATGGCTTTGATTCTGAACAGAGGAGTCAAGAAGGTTTCTAGGGCTGGGAGGGTGAAGTAGGACTATTTCTGAAAACAGGAATCATTATAGAACAGGAAAAGAACTGGGTGTTGAGACCTCAGGCCAAGCCTCAAGAGTGGCTGAAGTGACTAGACATGGATGGTAATGTTGGCCACTCTTTAGTAACCTACAAAGATGAAAGAATGATGGAGTTCTGTGTTCACTAATACATCTGGGTTTATAATGGATAAGAGATTTCAAAATGCACATCATACTTCACTCCCTTCATGTCAGGTTTTGGTTTTCAGTCTGCTGAGCCTGTGGAAATAATGCAAGTTTCTCATAGAGCCTATGCATCTATATTTAATCTTGTAATGTACACGTTGGTGGAATGTATCTCCGGACCACTGTTTTTTTTTATTGATCTGAGACAACAAGCCAAACATGCATATTTTGAACTGACTGCTGAAACCATTTGTTTGCAGCCTGATCTCTTCCAAGTTTTCATTAGTATTATATTATAATATAATATATTATAATACCAGGACTGGTGAACAATCACACCATCCATTAAGATCCTGTATAATAGCATGTTTGACAAATTCTGCATAAATGAACATATTTGTGACACATGATTGAGAGTAGGCATTTCAGGAGGTATTCATTGACTAGCATCAAAGCAGTAACTCAAATGAGTATGTGGGTATTTATATGAACTGCATCCCATTCAGAAAGGCCATTAAAAGTTGGGACACCTGGTTTTAAATTATCAGGTTAACTGGAATAGTCCTAAATTACCATCTTACTTTATATCCTTTAGTGAAACTTACTTTCGTCTCCTGTTTCAAATTCAAACTTCTGACTGTAGCCACTGTATCCTGTCGAAGTCCTCACTCGGATATGAAATATGTACTTGGTGGATGGCTTGAGACCTGTGATGATGACACTGGGGGCCTTGGACCTCGTGGAAGAATAGGTGAGCTGCTCATGCTCCTAGGGACAGAAAAAAGGAAAAAGGAAATGAGGCGGTGTGACCCTGCCGTTTCCTAGAGACAGTTCCCAGCAAAACTGAGGACCAAGGCTCTGCATATCAAAAATACTGATGGAAAGAAATATAAGGGTTTCCACAATTTAGCATTTAATTGATCAGAGTTATATATATGTTGTGTCTCTGACTTGGAAATTTATCAATAGGACAGTTGCCTGGATTAAACTACACTTGGACCACTGGTGACTTTGACTTTGGCTGTGACTTGGAGAATAGTGGTGGTCTGAGGGCATGTTCACACAGAACAGTAGCTTCTTCACCAAAATGGACAGACTGGACTGGACACATTATCATGAGTGTGGGGAATCATGAATCCACTACACAGCACTTCCACCCACAGGTAGTGAGTGCCAAAATGCCAGGGCTCTCTATCTGTGGGGAGACCTGTGGGTGAAAAGAAAAAAAAATAACTTTTTTCAGGTTTGAAATCTTTATATAGAAATCAACTGCATTGATCTATAACTCTGATTCCTTAGAATTTTATCATTAATATATGAAATTTAACAAATAAAATGATGCAATATTTTTTCCACTGAGATTTCAGAGTTCACTTTTAGATATGTGCAAGCTACATAGTGATGGTGAGATCAGCTTCAAAAGGTGTCCATAGAGTAGTAGTGACAACAGAAAGGTAGGGAATACTTAAAGCACCTGTGAAATCATTGACAAGCCTTGTATTCAACTGTTACACATCACTAAGGTGAAATGGGCTTACCCTGGCACGCTAAATGATCAGGGGAGTCCAGGACTTTTAAATGGGCTCTTTTGCTCTTACATAAGAACAGAATTGTTTGTCTTTGTAAGGGATTGTTTACAAGATCATGGTGGTGGGTGAATAACTAAACTCTTATTGCTTGGGGTTTATACAGCTTTCCTCTAAGAGCATATCTTTTAATAAGATATTCAAAAGCTTCTCTATTCTGAAAATCTGCCGTCTGAAATGATCCTCAACCTGAACTGATCCAGTGCTGACATGATGTCACATGTGGATAGTTCCACACTTGAGCTCATACATATGCCACAGTCAGGATGCTGGCGCACTGGAAATACTGTATACAATTGCCTTCAGGCTATGCATATAAGAAGTTTAAATGAATTTGGGGCTTAGAATTGGGTACCATCCTCAAGATATCTCATGTACATGCAAATACCCCAAAACTGAAAAAAAAATCCAGATCTGAAAGACCCAAGGATATTAGATAAGGGAGAATCAATCCACATTTGTACAAACAACTTTTCTCAATGCACAGATCAACATAGGTCAACAGTTCCCAAAGCGAATTCTGCTTTTTTTATAAGTCTAAATGTAAAAATTCCGAGGAAGGCAGGAGCCTTTAAGGGTCTTTAATTTAATGATTCATTTGATACTTAATCATATCTGTATTATCAGGATCTCATTTTTGGTTGTCCTGGAAACTGCTATTTTTTAAGAGACTTTCTAGACTAAGAAAAGATTGTAAAAATCTACACATAGAGAGGATGTGTCAAAGTTCTGTTTACTTGAGGGTGATAACTTAAGATTCAGAACTATGACAATGATTTCCTTTATGTTGTTTTGGAGAAAAAGTTCTTAAGACATTAATAAATGTTATAGCTTTATTTTTCAGAACTTTACATACTTTATGGTAATTCAGTATCTGAATGAAGGAATCAAATTTTCTATCTCTCCCTCAAATAATAAAAATTAATTACAAAATGACTAAACCATTGCAATATTGTAAGTAATAAACAAAACATAAAAATTGGGAATACACACACATATGCAATTTTGAGAGTAGGAAGTAAATAAAAACTTATGCATCTAGCATAGGAGCTACAGAAACAAAACCAGGTCTATAAATATTGATGATGATAATTATCTGCTGAGAATTGAAAGCCAGAGTCAGCTGATGTCAAGACATTTGTAATCAAGGGCTTAAAAAGTTCATAGCATAGAGGAATAGAAATGTTCTTACCAACCATAATGTCTGAAGTAGACATTTGTTGATCATTTAGATTTTTCAATTTCTTGTGCAAGAGGAAAATAGTCCACCTTTGATATAATTTCCTCCAATATATGTTATATTTTATCTTGAATGCTGCTGTACCATATGAAATGATGACTATGGGAGGATTTGTAAAGCAATGAAAAAGAATTTAGTTTTATCCCCTGAGACGGATGGTATGAAATGGAAAGTTTACTCTTTAAAATACTGCCTAACAATTATACACTGTCTTGGTTGCTTCACCAAAACATAATTAAACAGTAATTTCCTACCTAGTAAGTTACAGAGTCTAGTATGCTACTATAGGCAGCTTTTATATTTTTTTGCTTTCTGATTTGCACAAAATGTTTGTAGTTATACCCCTGGAATAAAAATCTTCAGGAAGTGTGTTGAAATGTACTCAACTCACCACCAGCTGCATGTCAGCTTCTAGCAGAGCAGAGCTCGTGAAGTGGAATTTTCCTTTTGGTACTTTTAGACTCATAGGAAACCAAGTTAGCCTTCATCTACTACAAGCATAGGATGTTATTACGTCAGAACATTGGCTAATTGCTCTTTCGCTGACATATAAGTTCCAAGTCTAAACAGCCATCATAAGGTAGAGAACATAACTTGCAAGGAACTGTTAGATCCCTTGCTCATCCTGGCAGGACGGCTTGGGAATGTGTCTGAGTGGAGCGGAGCGTTTGCATATGCTTTTCTAGAGTAGCACCACAGTTGTGAATCATCATAGAATTGCCAGTTGTGTGACATGAATGCTGTTAACTCTGCTGAGAAATCTATTTCACTATTCCTAAATTCATATATTTACTTTATTCTGTAGTAACATTCCCTGATCATTTTTTTTCCTTTTTCAAGGTATGATCGTTATTGGTTACTTTTCCCCCTATTACTGAAGAGAGATTTTGTTCTCCTATAATATATCCTAATTATAGATTCCCGTCTCCCCACTCCCTCTGGTTCTTTCCCAACTTCCCTGCTATCCAGATGCACCCCCTTTCTGTCTCTCATTAGAAAGCAAACAGGATTCTAACGGATAATATTAAAATAAGTTAGAACAAGAGAAAGCAAAACTAACACATCAGAATTGGACAAAATGAACAAATAGAAGGAAAAGAGCCAGGGGAAAGTAAAAGAAACAAACGTAGATACAGAATCCCACTTGCTCTATACTTAGAAATCCCATAAAAACATTAAACTGGAAGTCATAATACATATGCAAAGGACCTGTTAGGGTAAAAAGAGATAAGAAAAAATAAATTAAATGAAAAATAAGATAAAATTTAAAACTGTGTATGGGAAGCCCTGCCATGACAATGTGAGACAGGGAACCCACAAAAATGTCCTTGAGTTCATTTTCTGTTGATCATCTACTGCCAAACATGCAGACTGCCTTAAGGGTAGTTTTTCTACTCTGTCTTCCTTTGAAGGAAACTTAATTATCAAAGTGGTTATCGTTGCAGTTAAATTATCATTGCAGTTGGAGAGAGCTCCTGGGTTAGGGATGGGGACATGTGTCCATGTCTACTTTCAGCCCTGTGCATGCTGCTGCAGTCGCTGCAGATGCATGTGTGCATCTATCATGTGCAACTAGCAGGCCTTGACTTCTCTTTTCCTTGTGTCCTCCATTCCCTTTGGGCCTTATGCTCTTTCTGCCTCCTCTTCCTCGGGGTTCACTGAGCCCTGAGGGAAGGGATTTGATGGAGACATTCCATTTAGGGCTCAGGGTTTAAAGGTCTCTCACTCTCTGTAGGGTTCTGGGGCACTCCAGTCCAATAGGCCAGCACTGACAGTGTTCCTTTAGCTGGCTTCCTTTCTCTTAAAGTCTTTGGATCTCGTCAGATTTCTAAATGATATCCATCTCTTTAATTTCGATTTTAATGTAAATTTTAAATTAGCTAGATTAGTTAGATGGATAGTTAATAACAATACTACTGATTTTTTCCTACAAACTTACAGAAATGAAGGTGTCAGTATTCATAGGAACATGATTTATATAGCGCTGTACAACTGTCAAGATGTTTTCACACACATTCTTTAGTTCTCATAACAAGTTTCCAGAGCAAGTAAAATGATAATATTCAATTCCCATTTATATTATGGTGAAACTAATCCAGAGTCTGTCTACCTCAGTTAATTCAGACATATATGCTGTCCTTATTTTCATTTTAATTTTCTATTAATCTACTGTGCAGACAGTTTGTAAGTAATATTAGGAAGTCACCTCACTTTCTATGGAACGTGCAAAATTCATATTCACCCCGAGATCAGAATTTGTTCAAAAGCCCAAGATTCTGTCTTAGATGATCTGGCAGCTGATTAGCAGCCAGCCACAGGGACTTAAAACTATAAGGAATAGATGACAAGTTTAGGACCGTGACCTTGATTTTTCTTGGTAAAGTTTTTCAGTCTACTGATTAGAATTCTGAACCTATAGAATGCTTGAGAAAACATAAAATTAAAAGTTATAGTTTTGCAAGGGTTAGTTTGTCATTTCAACCTTATCGCTCTTCTATGTGTCTGTCTGCTTACTTGTCTCTGTCTGTCTTTCTCTCTCTCACATACATGCATACAACAAATGAAGAATCACACATGGTCTAGTGACATGAAGTTTGAAATAATGAAAATTTGAAAGAATAGTATTGCATGAATTGGTACCTGCATATCAGGGAAAAAAATTGAATTCCTCCTCAAAGGAGGAAGATCCTCATGGTTCCAAATCGAGAAGGCATGAGTGTTAGATTTAAACTGTGTTCAATGATTACTTTCTAAAGCAGAGGTACAGGGAGAATCCAGCTACTTCATTTAGTGGACCATTTCAAAAAGAGTACTACCTGGGAAGAGGAGGAACTCATCAACCCTGCCTGAAAGATGCTTTAAGATTTTTCCTATCATTTCTTTGATGCTGTAGATTTCCTTTAGTTCATATAAATTCTCATTCACCATTGAAGCAGGTCTAA